CGTCTTTTTTTTATTTTTATTTCTACTTGCTGAGCACGTATACAGTCTCTCGTCTACACATCTGTTAGTCGTCGGGTATAGGTGCGAGTGAACTCATGAGTATATGAGTATGATGATATGCGATTTAGTAGAGTGAATTTTTATTTATGTCTGTATCTGTTTCGTGCCTCTAGCTCTGTGCTGTTAGGCCTATAACAATGCACCATCTTTGACTCACACTTAATAAACCACACACACACACACACACACACACACACACACACACACACACACACACACACACACACACACACACACCTGCGGCGCCGGCAGGAACAGCCCATTTGGAGGCATCTGAGTTTGAGGGAGAAGACCCGGGCCCACCGGGCCCAGCAGTCGTCGTTGAGGACGAAGAGGAAGCGGCGTTCATGCCCACGCCCGTGCCCGACGTCGAGCCAAGTGCTGGATTGACGCTCAAGCTGGACGAAGGCGACGAGGACGTCGTCTGTGTAACTGTGACGGGAAGGGTTGTTGTTGTGGTCGTGGTTGTTGGTGGAAGCGTAGTCGTGGTTGTCGTTGTCGTTGGTGGCTGCGTAGTCGTGGTTGTAGTTGTGGTGAATTGCTGAGGTGACGTTGTGGTGGTTGTTGTGGTTGTTGTGGTTGTTGTGGTTGTTGTGGTTGTTGTGGTTGTGGTTGTTGTGGTTGCCGGTGTTGTGGTTGTGTTTATGATCGTGGTCGGTGTTGTGGTTGTAGTCGTTGTGGTCGTCGTGAAGTGAGGCGGAGGCAGCGTAGTTGGCTTTGGAATGCGATCGTTGCCCGTCACTGTCGTTGTGGTCGTTGTGTTCACTGCGTTTGTCGTGTTTGTTGCGGTCGCTGTGGTCGTGTTTGGGGAGTAGGTTGGCGGCTGTGACACCAGCGGGTCAAACCCATTCGCGCTGCAAATCTGGGGCACCTCAGGTACCCCTGCCACAACATCCGACACGGGTGTGAATTGCCCGTTCCAAGCCACCAACAATTCTGGCCAGGTCGCCACATCAGCAATGCCAACCTAAATTGTGCATGTGCGAGGATTATGCAGTGAGAACGAAGTGTAAACGTGGCAGCAAAACAGACACCGCTGAACACTCCAAGCACGCCTCAGCCAAGTGCTCTGGTTAGTCTGTCGTCATTCTCGCACGACATCAACAAATAGACAAAGCCAACAAAAACAGAACAACAACAGCCCCCAAACGAGCAAAGGGGAGCTGCTCGTGCATTGCCCGTACAAAGGTATCAAAGGTGACGGTCCACTTGGGGACGGTTGTGGTGCTTGACGTTACTGCTTTGAGCGCATCCACAGTGGCGCATGCTCCATGAAGCTGCAACTCGAGGATACCAGTGCCATCGCCCACATTCAAGCTTCCAAGGCGCGAGATGCCAAACAGATCTGGGACATCGCTCCTATTGTCATGGTGTGTGGTTGTGGTGAGGCGCACGAGGAGTGAGTGGGGTGTGACTGAGTGAGGAGAAGTAGTGAAACGATTGTGGCAAGGAACGCCAATCAACCTACACACACACACACACACACACACACACACACACACACACACACACACACACACACACACACACACACACACACCTCACACACACACACACACACCTCACACACACACACACACACACGCCGCGTGACACGTACGATGCTGATTCACCGATGGCCACTGAAAGTTCTGCTCCGTTGGAACTGGAGACCACCAACAAATCCAGAGTGCCGAGCGAAGGCATGTCCACATTGATGATGCCTGCTTCATCGATGATGTGCAATGTATTGACAGTCTCCAAGGTGTTGACACGGATCGTCACGGCTGACCCCGAAGCGTCTCCAGCAACGTCAATGGTGAAGCTGTCCACCATCGTTGGCAACTCAACAATCACCGTGCAAGAAGCGACCGACGATCGCCCTGTCACAATAAGCGTTGGGTTGACGCTGTTGGCCAGCGCACCCAAGGATATCGGCTGTGTGGCACAAGTCAGAGTATTCAACACAGTCAACTCCAGCGTGTACGTATCGCCATCTGGAAAAGACTGTGCAGCAGCCTGTGTGCTGAATCTTGCAGCGAGCAAGGCAACGGCTGCCATGATCCCTGCCAACACATGCCACCATCGCGTCGAAGAGGCACCACCACCACCACCACTACTACAAGCACTACCAGCAGCCATTGTCCTGAGGTCCTCGCTTCCTTCAAATACACCGCTGTGCTTGTCTTCCTGCTCGTCTGCTTGTTGTTTTGCATGAGGTGCTGGGTTTGGTGGGCGTGGACAATGCGCCTCGCTTGCTTGCTTGCTTGAGAGGAAAACAAGCAAGGAAGAGCAAAACGCAAAAGCTTGCAGGCACATCTACATCACAATTTATGCTGTTGCTACCTGCTCATGGAACGACTGGCATCGGACGCGGTTGTGGCGGCTGGGGCGACGCGGGTGCAGGAGGAGGAAGCGCGGCGGCATGGCGCCGCTGGGTTGACGGTGACGGAGGCCGGCGTGCTTCCAGCTGCGCTCGCCAGCGAAATGTTCAACACGCTGGATGCCCTGTCGGATGCGGCATGGCAACTTGAGGAAACAAGAAAAACCGAGCAGCCCATGCGGTTCTATCGGCTGCGGTCGGATCTGCAGACGCCGCCAATCGTGATCGCAGCACATGGTCATCGTGGTCACCGTGGCAGCGATAGTGGTTATCATGGAGAGGTTGTTGAAGGAAGCCGGAGACAAGGGCAATGGCAAGGGCAAGGCAGTGAGGACAGTAATAGCAGCGATAGAGCGGATGATGATGATGATGATGATGATGATGATGATGATGATGATGATGATGATGATGATGATGATGATGATGATGATGATGATGATGATTACGACGACGACGACGACGAAAACAGCAACAACAACAACAGCGACGACGGCAACAACAGCGACGACGACCGCAACAACGACAGTGATGATGGTGACTCGCAACGCGATGAGTGCGAGGAACAGAGATTGGTGCTGTGCGGGTTGATGAAGAGGATTCGGAGCCACCTGGAGCAGCGACTGCGCGTGAACAAGGACCATGAACGACTGCTGTTGAATGTGTCCAAGTACACGCGCGGCTGCTACTTGGCCTCGCATCGCGACGAGGATGCGCTCTGCCGCTCGTTTCGAAGGCGTAGGGCGGTTGTCCTCTACCTCGTGCATGCCACATACAGCCGGCAGGATGGTGGCCTGTTTGTGGACCACGAGACTGGGCAGCAGATTGTGCCACAACACAACATGTTGGTCCACTTTGCTGTCCCCCGCCTGCACGAGGTGACACCTGTTCTGGGCGGCGGCAGCACGCAGCGACCGCGCTTTGCAGTGTACGGCTGGATTGTCACGCCACGCTTCGCCGTGTGGAGCCGTCAGTCCCCCACGCGCCAGCCACGCCTTCTGGCGACGGCACCGAAGCAACCAGCCTTGCATGCCGCTGCACGCGAAAGGGAGAGGGACGCAGAGGCAGCACAGGCCAAACGCAGGGCACAAGCAGCAACAGCGTCCAGCAAGCGGCCACACCTATCATCCCATGCTGATGCTGATGCTGGTGACGGTGATGATGGTGAAGATGATGATGATGATGATGATGATGATGGTGGTAATGGTGGTAATGTCCAGCTGCAGGAACCAGCCGCCACCCCAACCACCACCACCCAGGACACCACAGCAAAGCGTGCTTGCTTGCCGATGCGCGTTGTGGTGCGCACACAGCACCGAGCAGTTGTGGCTGCGCTTGGGCGCCTCGCGTTCATGCCATTCTTCACCGCACATCAGCTGCTTGGCACGACGCTCTCCAGACAGTTTCGACTGCCCGGCGCTACTGCTGGTGGTGACAATATCGACCACAACAACAGCCGTGACGGCAATGAGGAAGAAGGGGAGGAGGTAGGCCATGGTGGTGATGACAGTGGTGATGGAGATGATGGTGGCGATGTTGCAGAAGGAGTACGGGAGCAACACCGACATCCCAATCATCAGCATCATCATCAACAGCAGCCGGAAGAAGGAGACGAGGAGGGTTTCGGCTGTGTTGATGGCGATGGTGATGAAGCAGATTGGCGTGGTGATGGGAGAAGGGTTGTGGGTGGTGGTGTGCAGCACGGCGTAGGGGTTGACGGTGCGCGTGTGCGCCGCCCCGGGCGCGTGGGTGTGCGGATGTACCTGCTTGGTGACGATGACAACGACTGCACACGCATGCACCGCGTGTGCCTGGGCGACGTGATTGAGTTTGTGGTTGAAGATTCACCTGAAGAAACGCTGACGTTTGCGCTCACATCATGGACCAGGCCCATGCGGGCTGCGGCCTCGTGGCTCAGCACATGCCACCACGTGTCCACCACAGATGTACCCAGTGACAACGACAACGACAGTAGCGACAACAGCGACAACAGCAGCGGAAGCGATGACGGCAGTACTAACGACGGCAAGAGAGCAGCTGCAATGCGCACGGTGCTATCCTTATCAGACGTGCTGGCCCAGTTTGGCGCGTCCGGCCAACGAGCATCATCGCCCTCCACGCGTGAGGCAGGTGCGGACAGCGTCACCCTTGCACGAGCAGTGCTTGCCGCCGCTGCGTCGTCACTGGCACGGCCAGCATCATCGCGGCGGGCTCGCATGCGCGTGCGTGTTCCCGTAGGAGCAGCACATGCGACCAGCGAAGTGGAGAGTAGTGCTGACCAGGGCGTGTGCAGCCCGCAAGTGGATGGGCTCAACGGTGATGATGGCAGGCTTGATGGGCGTGGTGGGCGTGGTGACGCTGATGAGGCAGATGGGAGAGGGGCGTTGCGTCATGGTTCTCATGCACCGCATATGGTGTGGTCTGACGACACGCGTCACGCTGCACGACCATCGTCGTCATCAGCGCATGCAGATGTGCAGCCACTAGGCCTGCACACTGATTGCTATGTGGTGGCAATGCTGCATGCGCTTGCGGCGTACGGCGGCGATGTGTTTGTTGACGTGCGGTTGAGTGGTGGGGATGGCATGGACAATGCACGGCGATACCTGCTCAACTCGCTCGTCCGTCCCCGCAAGCTGTATCTCCATACACACGCAGGCGTGGATGTTGCTCGCTTGTGCACAGCGCTTGACCCCAATGCTTTTGCTGGCGTACAAGTGGTCTTCACATAGCTGCTGCTTTGCTTGTTACCCTGTGTGTGGATGCGCGTGTGTGTGTGTATGTGTATGTGTGTGTGCATGTGGACAAACGCTTGTGTGTTTGTGTGCGTGCACGCATGTTTGCATTCATTCAATCTTGACATCAGCAAAAAGCGGACAAAAGGATGCGGGCGCGGGCGGATGATGCGCTGAGTTGCAAACGGGGAGGGGTGGCAGTGGTTGCACTTGGTGTGCTGCTGGTTGCTTATCGAGTCGCCTGTGCCCTGTGCATGCGCACGTCATTCGTTCCGGACGAGTACTGGCAAGCAAACGAGGTGTGTGTGTGTGCATGCGTGTGTGTGCATGCGTGTGTGTGCATGCGTGTGTGTGCGTGTGTGTTCTATGTCTCTGTGTGTATGAGTTGTTGATGATGCATTGCTCATACCTTTCTCGCTGGTCTTTGGTAGGGTGGGGCCAGCTTCTATGGAACACATCCTTGGTCGTGGTATTGGTTTCAGGTACATTTGCGCACATGCACACAAACACACACACATATGTGTTTGCATGTGTGTTGTAAGTGGGATCTCGCTGCGCTCGAAAGGGCACGTGCACTTGCGGCGGTAAATCGGCTTGCCCTTTGCTCCCACATTGTGTGCAATTCCACAATGAACACGCCACGCCACCACGCCGACAGGGTTTACCGGTAGTGCTGGGTGTGCTGTATGTTGTCCTTCCCATTGGGCTGATCCTTCTGCAGCGAAACGGTTGGCAACAGCACATCCACTTCACACATGTGCACGAGTGGGGATGTTGGTGTTGTTCCTCATCACACACGTCAGTGTCGGTCTTGGCTCTTCATTACCATGCAATCCGCATTGAAGAAACCCCACTCAACCTTCACACTCACACACACACACGCACATACACACACACATATACACATTGGTTTGAGCGTAGGTGTGCGCACGCGACCGCTGTGGCCGCTTGTTGTTGCGTGTGTGTATGTGCTGGTATTCAGCCAACTCCCGCACAAGGAGTTTCGGTTCGTCTTTCCCGTCATCTACCTCGTCTTGCCGCATGCAGGCCTCATCCTCAAACATTGGTTTGTGTGTGTGTTTGTCTGCGTTTGTCTGCGTTTGTGTGTGTGTGTGTGTGTGTGTGTGTGTGTGTGTGTGTCTGTGTCTGTGTGTGTCTGTGTGTGTGTGTGTGTGACTGTGTGTGTGTGTGTGTGTGTTTGTGCGTGCATGCGTGCGTGCGTGTACCTGTCCTTTTTGCCCTCGCCTGTGTTTCTGTACTGCCGGGCTTGCGCATCATCCCGAGCCTGCATCTCCCTCTGCGACGCTTCTCACGTTGGAACCCGCTGTTTGGCAGGCGCAAGCATGCCCGCGTTGTGGTGTGGACTGCGCTGGTCATTAACATCCCGGTTCGTTGTTCTTGTCATCACCACCACCACCGCCTTCATCATCACTGTCATCAGCATCGGAAAACAATGCGTGCTTTTCGTACTGCTCATCTCCGCTGATGTTGCTCACATGGGTCACAATGCAACCAACCACACATACACACACACACACACGCACGCACGCACGCACGCACGCACGCACGCACACACACACACACACACACACACACACACACACACACACACACACACACACACACACACACACACACACACACACACACACACACACGTGTACCGTGCAGGTGATTGTGTACACGCTGCGTGTGCACCAGGCCGGGCCAGAAGCTGTGATGCATTATCTTCGCCACCAACACACGCTGTACGGTGAAACGACGATACAGTTCAGCACCTCTTCCACCACACAGCCGCACCAACTCTCTGTTCTCTTCCTCACAGACTGCCATCCAACTCCCTTCTACAGGTTGGCATGCGCACAGTGTGTGTTGTGTGTGTGTGTGTGTGTGTGTGTCTGTGTGTGTGTGTGTGTGTCTGTGTGTGTGTGTCTGTGTGTGTCTGTGTGTGTCTGTGTGTGTGTGTGCTCTGTATAATCTCGCTGTGCCATCTCGCTGTATAATCTCGCCCTTTCTTCTTTTTGGTTTGCTGTTCTCACGTGTACTGTCATCGTGCACCACAACGTGTCACCGCCATGGCCCTCTCATTGCCATGACAGCTACATGCATCGCAACGTGACGATGGTGTTTGCTGAATGCCCGCCCCCTTCGCTGGGCCCAAACGAGAGCGATGCGTTGCACGCTGACCCGCTCGCCTGGCTCAACGCCACCTTCCCGCCGCCATCAGCAACACCATCGCCACCGTTTCCCACAGCACCGCATGTGGGCGCGCAATCGCCGACGTTGTGGTCGCTGCCACGCTTCATCGTGGCATATGCGGATGTGCTTGGCGTACAGGCCCGCCCCTGGCTGGAGCAACACGACTACCGGCCCGTCTACTGCGTTGATCACGCCCACTTTCCGCAGTCTGATCGCGACGGCCGCATCATGTGCGTGTACACACGCGCACAGCAGACAGCACCGGCCAAAGCACGAGCAGGCAATGCGGAGACGCACGTGTGGGTGGAGTTGTGATGCGACCTTACTTGCGCACGAGCTGACTCGTGCAAGGGTTGCACGCAAGATGAGAAGGAAAGCTTGAGGCACGCACGCATACATGCATGCATGCATGTATGTACGGCGGCGGCTACGTTACATCCCCAGCAGGGTCTTGTTTGCTTGCTTAATTGGCACACGGAAGATAGACAATAATATGCACGAGCCAAGAAAGATGCATAGTCGTATCGTGTATTGTGGAATAACACATGTGCTGTTGGAGTTCAATAGTGACGAGGGATGCAGGCAGGCAGGCGTGTGGGTTCTGTCACAGGATGAGACGAGTATTGCTTGCAGGCACATGTTGTCGCCAAAACCTAAACGAAACACGAAGGGTGGGGGCAATAACAGAAAGCACGCTTTCAAAAGATGCATGCATGCATGCAATTGCGTGTGCAAAAGCACACACAACACACACACACACACACACGCACGCACACACACACACACACACACACACACACACACACACACACACACACACAACACACACATACACACAAATGCACATGGGCGTGTGTATGGCACGACACGGCAGCAAGTTGACAGGTCACGCTGTGCTCTGGTTGGCGGCTGCGCCAGTGGTGTCCTGTGTGGGCGAGGGGGAGAGGGGAAAGTCGTCAAAGAGCGGAAAATCAGCGGCAAAGTCCGAGTCAAGAAGCGCAGCCAGCTCGTCGCTCTCCGTGTTTCCGCCCGCCACTGGCGCCAACGCCGCTTCCTCAGGCATGGTGACGGGGGACAGCGCGGGCGCAAAGACAGACGACATGCCAAGCGTGTTGATGTTGCGGCTGGAAGTGAAGCTGGGGATCATGGGGATGGTGTCGGCCACACCCCCACCATCAGTGACGCTGGCGGTGCTGTATGCGCTTGCCTGAGCTGCAGAGCTGGTGTTGGTGTTGTACATATTGCTGTTGTTGTTTGTGGTGAAATTGGTGGCGGCATTGATGCTGGTGTTGGTGTTGGTGTTGGTGTTGGTGTTGATATCGGGGTTGGGGGTATTGGCGGTGTTGGTGTTAGTGTGGGGGGTGTTGGCCGACTGGAACACGAGCGGCGGCAGGGCGTTGGTGTTGTTGTTGGCGGCACTGGAGGATGGGGTTGGCGAGTCGAGAGGGGAGAGGGAGAAGGGGCTCTCACCATCAAATGGATTAATGAGCGGCTGGTTCAATTCTGACGACTCAAACGACAACAGCCACGGCTCTGCAAGCTGCGATTGTTGTTGTTGTTGTTGTTGTTGTTGTTGTTGTTGTTGTTGTTGTTGTTGTTGTTGTTGTTGTTGTTGTTGTTGTTGTTGCTGTTGTTGTTGTGGTTGTCTAATGGCGTTTGCGTTTGCGTTTGCCGCCATGTGTGGCGCGAGAGCAAAAGCATCCTGGCCCGTGGGTAAGATGATGCCAAGCTGCAGCAGCTGTGCAATGAGTTGCGGCGACAGCTGTTGCAGGGTCGACAGCGAAATCTTTGTGTCCCCATCCGCCATGACTAGCCCCGCCGGCTGCTGCTGTTGCGGTGGTTGCGATTGTTGTTGTTGTTGTTGTTGCTGAAGGCTTGCGGCAGAGAGAGAGGGTGCCATGGTGTTTGACGGAAACTCAAACCTTCCCTGTCGCTGTTGCTGCCGTGGTTGCTGCTGCTGTTGTGCGGTGGTCGTGGCTGCGGTGGCGCCGCTGGTCAACGACTGCAGCAACACATCGGAGGGCGACATGGGCGTTGATGGAAACGCAGACGCGGAGGTGAACAGCGGGGGCAGGCCACTGCTCGACAAGGGGGGCGCAGATGCCAAACACGTTGGTATCGCCGTTGTGCCGGCTGCTGCTGTCGACGACAACGATGCGGACGCATGTGATGCGGCCTTTGTGCTGCGGCCTCTCCTCGAACGCTTCTGGTCGCTGGCAGCCGCAGCGGTGGTGGCGTCTGCCTGGCGACCTTGTGTGCTGGATGCAGTGGATGAGCCGGTGCTGGCGCGGTTCTGCTTTGCAGGGGTGGGTGCGACAGCTCGAGCGTAGGGGATGCCGACGCACAGCTGCTTCACGCGCTCGGGGTCTGCGTTGTGCCCCGTCTTGAGGTGCTGCTTCAGGCCCGGCTTTGTCTTGAACGGTTTGGAGCAGAGCGGGCAGGAGAAGTGTCGCGCGTCGTCGTGCGTGCGCTCGTGCATGCGCACGTGACTGGACGTGATAAACGACTTGCCGCAGATGGAGCACGAGTATGGCCGCTCGCCCGTGTGGGTGCGCAGGTGCACCTTGAGGTCGCTCATGCGCGCGTGCTTCTTGCCGCAGAAGCCGCAGGAGAAGGGCTTCTCGCCGGTGTGGATCTTGCGATGGCGCGTGAGGTGGCTCTTCTTGGTGAAGGACTTGTTGCACTTGTCACACACAAACGGCTTTTCCCCCGTGTGGGTGCGCAGGTGCACGACGAGGTCCGATCGCCGCGAGTAGTCCTTGCCGCAGGCGTGGCAAACGTGCTTGCCATCGCTGCTGTCGTCTTCGGTGGCGTTGGTGCCACTGCTGCCGTTGCTCTTGCTGTTGGTGTTGCCGTTGCTCTTGCTGTTGCTTTTGCTGCTGGTAGTGTTGTGAGCGGTGTTGAAGGAGCTGCCGTTCAGTGCAAACGCAGCGCCGTTGATGGTCGACGGCGACAGCAGGCTCTCCACCTTTGTAGTTGCTGTAGCTGATGGGGAAGTCGGCATGCCAAACAGCTGTGTATGTTGTAGTTGCGAGGTGGAGGGAACGCGGTGGGGCCCACGATTATGCATGCACTCTGCATGCACTGAATGTGAGCAGTTCGGGGGGGGGGGTGTTGCTGGGTGCAAGGCTCGCTGGCTTGCTAACTTGGTTGTTCAGGGAGGAAGGGAAGGGAACGGATGGAAGCAAGGAAGGCAAGGAAGGCAAGGAAGGCAAGTAAGGCTGAAAACAACCAAAACAATGTCAAACAAAAGGTGTGGGAGGCTAATCAGAGATCGGTTTCAGGCCCAGCTGTTGTTGTTTGGCTCATGGGAGAATGCATCCAAGTGTGCGTGGCTGAGGGAACACACACATACACACACGCAAACGAAGCAGGAGCAACGCCAGCGCAGCCACGGACGAGGCTGATGATGTGATGTGATGATAGCGCTGAGATGAGCGAGGCGACAACGCGAGGGGTGTGCAAATGGGTGTAAGATTGAATGCTGGCGGGTGGCAGGCGCATTCGATTGCGTGGCCGTCTGGTCGCAGCACTGTCAAGCAAACAAGGGCCATGAAGCAAGAACAGGAGAGAGAATACCAGCAGACCTGTTGCAGGAAACAGGTGGCGCTCTGTCTCTGCTTTGTTGCTTTTGGTTTCTTCTGGTTGGGTGGAGGAAGGGAAAAAAAAAAAGAAGAAAAATTTGAAGTTAAAAGTGCATGCGATCAAAGGTTGGGCACGCTGACGTCATTTTTTGTGAAGCGAAAGGGCGCAGAGCATTCTTTGAAGATGCCAGCAAATGCTCGTCAATCAAAATGACGTCGGAGACCCCACAAAAACGAGCTTCAAGGTTTTGCGCAGTGGGTAAAACCTCATAAACCACTCGTGGCAAAAAAAAAAACAACGAGCAAAACGGAACGAGCGCGCCAAGCACAAGGAGCAGACGTTGTTGTGCCTGTTGTTGTTGTGAGACACAAGTGCAGAGGACGAGAGGAAGCAGCGTAGTTGACGAAGCATAGCGTCATGTCTGAGGCGTCGCTGGTGCCGAGCATGGAGGCCCGGCGGAAACAGGCGCAAAAGAATGCCGAGCAAAGGAAAGTGCGCCAAGACTTCCGCAACATCCTCCGAGACATTGACGGTGTGTACATGTGATGTGATGTGCGTGATGTGTGTGCACGTGTGTGTGTGTGTGTGTGTGTGTGTGTGTGTGATGTGTGATGTGTGATGTGTGATGTGTGTGTGCATACGTGTGTGTTTACTGACCATCGAGACCGCTGTTTCGATTTTGGGTGCAGAGCGACAGGAGGATCTGAGCGTGCCGGGAAACCCTCACTATCAAGAAGTGTTCAACAGATTCGATGCTCAGCGCAAGAACGGTCAGCAATCACTGTGTGTGTGTATGTGTGTGTGTGTGTGTGTGCTTTGTGCGATGATGCGGTTGTGCACCGCGTCGTGACGCGATTTGCCTGATGCGCATTGCAATATATGCAGTAAGCACCACAAGGGAGGGCCTTCTCGAGACACACGCGCTGCTGAAGCTGTCAAAGATTGTCAATCGGCAGGTCTGTGCGTGCGTGTGCGTGTATGCGTGTGCGTGTGAGTGTGCGAGAGTGTGAATGTGAATGTGGGCAGGCGGATGGGTGTTTGCTGCTGTGATGGGAGAGGTCTTGATTCTCACTATGACCATCACTGCACGTGCATGACGCTCAGACGCAAGCGCTGGAGACAACCTACGTGCCACTGGACAAGGTTTCCTTTGCCGAGCAAGTGACACAACTCGCATTCAAAGTGTGTTAATTTGGTGGGAGTCATAGGGGGTGGTTTGTACATGTGTATGTGCGCGCGTGTGTGTGAGTATATGTGTGTGTGTGAGTGTATGCCTGTGTGTGTGTGTGTGAGTGCGAGCATGCACGTGAGTGTAAATGTACGCATGGTGTACGCCATGTTATGTGCCTATGATATGTGCTGCATCCTCCTCACGTCTGTGTTTGTGGTGCGGGTGTTTGATAGGGTGGTGCTCAGCCAGCGAAGCGTGCCAAGCTGGACTGGGCCGTCGTGGGTCAAGTTGCTTCCTCAATCGCACAGCCACTTCCCCTCGTTTCCATGATGTGCGTGGTGTGTGTTGTGTTGTATGTATGTGTGTGTATGTTGGTGTGTGTGTGTGCGTGTGTGCGTGTGCATGCATGTGTGTATGTGTGTGCTGCGGAACTTCCCTCCACAATCATGATCACCACCACCACCACCACCACCACCACCACGTGCACGTGCAGCGTTTTGGCAAGCTGCACGTATCTTTCCACCACTGCACACAACAGCTCAACAACTCAAAACCCCCCTACCCCCTCTTCTTCTTCCTTCCATTCAACCATCCCTGCATCAACACCTCCATGCCAGGTACGGCCCCTTGAGCATGGACCTGTCGAAACGCCAAGTCGCCAAGCCCACACAGCGCACCACATTCGACAAATCAAAGGCGGTCGTCCCTTCCTCTGTACGTGCCGTGTTTGTGGGGGAGGGGGTGTTGGTTCGCATATGCACACAGGCAGTGTTGTGGGCTGAGGAGTTTCCCTTTTGTCGTTGCTGTTACATGCTTCAACAGGTTGTCACCACACACAAGCACGTGCACACACACACACACACACACACACACACACACACACACACACACACACACACACACACACACACACACACACACACACATTCCATTGACGCGGTACCCTCGTTCAAACGCCTGTGAACAGAACTTGTCAGATCTTGAAAACGAGCAAGACTTGACGGCAGCACGCGTAAAAGAGGTCACAAAGTACCTCGGCAAGGTACATGTGTGCAATGTGTTTGTATGCGAACGCATGTGTGTGTGTGTGCTTGTTACTTTCTCACACACAGACACATGCACACACAGATACATACACGCCAACTCACCTTATCATGTACGGTGCGTGTGCGCAGGCGCTGGCTGCGTCGAAGCGGCGGCACCCGGAGCGGTACCCGCGCGTCGGCTACTTTGAGTTTCTTGTCAATCCGCGCGACTTTGGGCAGACGGTCGAGAACATCTTCCACTTTAGCTTCCTGGTCAGGGGGGGGGGGCTGTTTGTTTGTTTGCTTGTTTTGTTTGTTTGTTTGTTTGTTTGTTTGTTTGTGTCTGTTGTTGAAACACTACCGACATGAAGCACTCGCTTGTACGCTCATGTACTCCGAGTGATCCCTGCTTGCAGGTAAAAGACGGCGCCGTGGAGCTGTTTCTGGACGAAGCTGGCCTGCCCTGTATCCGTGAGTCCACAGCATGAGCAGAAGAGGGACAGCCGCAGGGTGAAGTAGAGGTGACGACACACACACGCATGTACACACACTCTCACTCTCACTCTCACTCTCTCTCACACACTCTCACACACACACACACACATGTACACATACGCACACATGTACACAGGCAAGCCGATGAAGCCAGCCCGCGGTGGTGCGGACAACGGCAACGGCAACGATGATGACGATGACGATGGAGCAGATGAGGGCTGGCACGGCGGGAACGCGGGGCCACAAGGACGCATCCAGCACGTCATGTCAATGTCGCACCAGGAGTGGAAGGCAATCATCGAGGTGGGGACTGTGTGTGTGTGTGTGTGTGTGTGTGTGTGTGTGTGTGTGTGTGTGTGTGTGTGTGTGTGTGTGTGTGTGTGTGTGTGTGTGTGTGTGTGTGTGTTCAGAACCCGGCTCTCTTTCCTTTCACTCACACATCACTCGCTTCCTTGCTTGGTCAGGCGTTCAACATCAAAAAGCCAATGCTGCCGCACAGGTACGAACACTGTGGTGGCTGCTCTCGCTTGCTGCGTCGTGTGTGCGTGTGCTGTTTTGTTGAACGCTGTCACTCACTCGCTCACACACACACACACACACACACACACACACACACACACACACACACACACACACTTACTTTTAGACAGTCAATTAGAAACCGCTTACGGGTGTGGCGGCGGATAGTGGGCTCGCCACTTTGAACATATTATCCTCTAAGAGGTGTGACAGTCTAAATTTCGTTCGCATCAAAGCCGCCCGGGAGAAACCTCACGAGTAGACTGTTTAGGGGTGTCGTATAGTTGGATGGTCCTTTAACAGAGCTTAGGGACTAGTTCTAATGGTGCTCACAAGACCGCAGTGTCATGCAAACGACGTCGTCGACTCACTCGCTCACACACACACACACACACACACACACACACACACACACACACACACACACACACATTTTCACTCACAGGAAACCATCATCGTAGCTGTTACCCCAAACACAACAACATATTCCCGTTATGTTAGACTGGCCCTTGCGTTGTTGCTCGTTCAAACTTAACGACTCAATACACACAGAACACCATTCGTTCGGACTGCAGTGTCATCTTCTCTCGGCTTGGTGTGTGTAATCCGTCTCGAGGTGGTGGAGACAAAACGAAGCAACGAAACAAACAAACAAGCAATGCTGGGCAAGCGTGACACAACAGGGGCATCTGCAAACAAACGCAGCAGCATTCGATTGGCCACAAGTGCACACATGCGCAACACGAAACAGCACAGGTACACAGCAAATTGGTGTGCGAGGGATGTCACAGTCACGATGAAAAGGTGGGGGTGGTGCGGGAGGGAGAGATGGGTTTAGACCTTGGGCAGGCCAGCGACGACCTGGGACTCAATGCCGCACTCGTCCGTGCCCTTCTTGATCCAAAAGAACCCGTCATTCCCCCAGCTATCGTTCCAGGAGTTGGCGACGATCCAGTAGTCGGTGCCGTCCTGGACACCCCAGCCGATGATCTTGATGGCGTGGCCACCAAGGGGCTGGCCCGAGGTGTGCTGGTACACGCCAGACTTGTAGGAGAGGAAGTCGCTGTAGACGGTGAAGGCGGCCTCAACGGGGCCGTTGGTCATGATCTCCGTGGCAATCTGGTCCACGCCGCGCACGCCGTACGAGGAGGCGCCAAAGTGCTTGTCGTTCGGGTACGTGACGTTGTAGCCCTGGCGGCAGGAGCGCTTGCAGGCAGGGGTGGGGACAATGTCGCCGCAGGGCTTGTACGGGCCGGTCGTGTGGTGCTCGCACTTGGCAAGGCTGTATGGCTGGCAGCCCTGGTTGGAGTCGTACTGGCCACCGGTGACAATGCCCTGGTTCTTCCAGTACTCCCAGGCAGCGGCAGGGTAACCACCGTTGCAGCCATCACCGCAGGTGAAGGTGCAGCACGTCAGCAGATCTGCGTGTGAGTGAGTGAGTGAGTGAGTGAGTGAGTGAGTGGGTGGGTGAGTGAGTGAGGGGAGAGGGAGAGGGGAGGGGAGACAGAGAGAGAGCGAAAGAGAGAGAGACAGGCAGAGAGATAGACAGACAGACAGATACAGGCAATGGAACGACGCCAATGCCACACATGAATACAAGAGCAGAAGGCGACAAAGCACAGGAAAAGGGCCGTGTGCCCACAAACAACAACAACAACAACAACAACAACAACAACAACAACAACAAACGCACCCTCGGCGGAGATGTGGGGGGTCTGGGCGCCCTTGCTGGCGATGCACGTGCGGTCGGTCATGGCCTCGACGGCGCCAAAGGCCCAGCAGCTACCGCAGTTGGCCTGATCGCGGACCTCCTTCACGCTGGGGCACATGCTGCCCCACTGGGTGCGGGAGTCGAACGAGGTGGGAAGATCGGCGGGGACCTCAACGTGCTTCACATCCAGCGTCACAGGGGAGCCCTCCAGGCGGGTACCCATCTGCTTGCGAATGTAGTCCATGGTCACGTTCACAAAGCGCTCGTTCACGCCGGCCTTCCAGCTAAAGCAACATGAACCATCAAAGGTGGTGGTGGTGGTGGTGGTGGTGGTGGTGGTGGGCACGACATGACGGCACGACGGCACGACGTGAGATGTGGATCAATCGCACCGACATTCATTTGCCAGTGAACACGGGCGACGTGCATGGCAAACCAGGAAACACGGTGGGCTGCAGCGCTTGATTGATGCCCGACTCACCCGACGTTGCGTGCGTTGATGTCATTGGCGATGCTCTCGAGACCAAGGATGTCGTGAGCAAAGCGGAGGGTCTTGGTGGGGACGGCGTTGGCCGCAGCCACACAGGCAAGGACAGCAACAACAACAGCCAGCTTCATCTTCGGGGGTTGGTTGCAGAGGAAATGGAGGCAGTGCTGCTGGTTTTGTGCTGCTGTGCTGTTTTGGGGTTTGTTTTGGAGGAGGGCGAAGGAAACGGACCCTAAACTCAGGGTCAGACACTCGTGGTCGTAAAGAGGCTGCGAAGAGGCTGCAAAGAAAGGGGAGCGCGCTTCCTCGCTTCACTTCACTTCAGTTGAACGCCGCAACGCAAGAACGCAGTGCTACTCGTGGCACAACAGGAGAACACAAGAACAATGTTGAAGGAACACGACTTGTGGGTTGTGTCACAGTTAAGGCACCACGGACAACTCAAGAAGAGAACACAACAAGGCGCTAAGGCGCCACAAGCAAAAGATCCAATCTTCCAAGGAACAAGGGGGCTGCAGTAGCCCCAGTCATGTCAAGCATCGCAGCCTAAGAGCCGGGTAGAGCTGCGAGCAGCTTTTCCTTCAGCTGCTGGAAGGTGGGGCGCTCCCTGGCCTCCTGTGCCATACATTCTTGCGCCAGGTTGCGCAACAGCACTTCCGCCGCTTCCTCATTGCCTGCACAACCAAAGCAGTAGGCATTGTGATGTTCTGGTATTATGAGGAGCTGGGGACAAGAGGTGCTGTGCTGTGCATGCACTGGGGTGCAGGACGGTGGGCTGGTAGGCAGGTAGGCTGGCAGGGGAGTGTTGAAAAAAGAAAAACAAAGAGCATACTAACACAGCGCAGTACAAACAGCATACACCACACACACAAGCACACATACAAACACACACACACACACACACACACACACACAAACAGCATACAAACACACACACACACACACACACAACTTCCACAACTCCTCCTCACCCCTCCAACCCCCAAACTCCTCTTCACCCCCGTCTCTTATCATCCCCTCCTCCCTTCTCACCTGAAGATGGAGGGAAGCGGAGCCGCTTGCCGGATGCAAGCAAGGATGCGAGGGTGGACAGCATCGGGCCGCAGAACCCGTCCCCAAACTCTTGCTTGATCAAGTCGGGTTTCCGCTGCGTCACAATCTCCCACAGCACAACCCCAAAGCTGAACACGTCGGCCTTGGTGTCGTACGCTGTCCCCGTCAGCGCCTCTGGCGCAGTGTACAGCGGCGTGCCAACAGCGGCTGTCATGGTCATGCTCATCGTCATGCCAGCCACCTCCTCGTCGTACGCAACATCGTCATTCACAGCAGCACCATCAGCCGCCGCCGCAAGCAGCATAGCCTGCGCTGCCTCTGAATCGCCACCACGTGACGACGACGCTGGTGTGGTCAACGACGATAACCCAGCCCCAGCCAGCACGCTTGAACTGCCATTACTGTCTTTGTCGTTGCCGCTGCTGCCTATGTCGTCGTCGTCGTCGTTGTCGTTGTTGTTGTTGCTCATTCTCCTGTCGCTGCTGTGATTGTGGGTGCCGGGGAGCCCAAAGCCAAGGCCAAACCAGCCGCCTCCGCCGCTGCGGTGTGGCCCCGCAGAATGCACCTGCTGTGAACTCAGGCGCTGGGTCACGGTTCCAAAGTCCGTGATCTTTGCCCGCAGGTTCGCCGACACCAGCACATTGCCGCTCTTCAGATCTCTGTGTATGATGGGGTGCATGCGTGCATTACGTTGTGTGCAGAATGTGTGCATTGAGTGCAGGCATATGGAAAAGAAAGGAGGGCGCAAGCAGGAAATAACATAACACACACACGCACGCACGCACATGTCACGCACGCACACTCACACACATACACAACACTCACGCACACGCACAGATCACACATGCACACACACGCATCACACACTCACCAACCCCCAAACCCCCCCCCCCCAACAAAACACGCAAGGTCACCTGTGGAGTTTGCCGAGGCTGTGGATAAACGCCATGCCAGATGCAATGTCCGCAGCGAGGCGTTTTTTCAGCGCCCACACAGTCAAGAGACCAGGCTGCACCGAGTGCCTGGTTGATGACACGACTGTGTAGTCATCCAAGTCCTCACTTGTCGGTGCAGCAGTTTCTGCGCTTGTGGAAGCGCTGGTGCTGTTGGTCTCTGCCAACACCTTTCGTAGGTTGCGCTGCAGCAGCTGGCGCAAGGATCCGAGCGCCATAAACTCCAGCACCAGAAATGGCGCGCCAGTCACCGGGTTTGTGCCAGCGCCAAAGAAGCGAACCAGGTGCGGGTGCCGCGTGCGCTGCAAGAACGCCACCTCCTTCTCAAACTCCTGCTGCGTCGCAGCGTCCAGGAACACGTTGCCCAGCTTCAGCACCTTCACCGCCACATGCACCGAGTCCCACTCGCCCTCCCACACGTCGCCGCTCGCACCACTGTCCAGCTCGCGGTACAGGTCAAGCTCCTCAAACGGAATGTCCCACACTGCCTTGAGCGCCAGCACCTCCGCGTCCTTCTCGGAGAGCAGCTGCATGTTGAGGGCGTGCTCGGCGCGCAACTGCTTGTGCCGGCGATACCAGCGGAACAGCGCAAACAGCACGCCTTGCAGCGCCAAGACACCGGCAACAGTGCCCAACGCAACGGCGAGGTGGTCAGATCCTTGCTCCTTGCACTCTGAGCCACGCAGTTCATATCCATTCGAGCACAAACAATCGAGGCCGAATCCCAGCTCGTATGATACAGTGCGGAAGTGCAAGGTGCGAATTGTCTCTGCCTTGACCTGACATGTCACAGGCGAGCCAATCAATGCCAGGGAAGGCATCTTCTCACGAGCTGGGATACGCACACGTTGATCTGTCGTGTAGACGGCGCGGGTGTTGGAGACAACAACCCTGGAGATTGCCGTGCTGATTCGCGTTAAGTGTGAAATCCACAGGTTATGGCTCAGGTCCAACAATTCAACCTCACTGAAGGCGAGACACTGCAACAAAAGTCGCTGAGCTTTGTCCAGTCTTTCCATCTCTGGCAGCTGCCAATTGCGTGCCACAACCGTCAGAGAACCCCAGTCTCGGCAGAGCTGACGCGTATTGGAAAGACGCGTGTGGCTCAAATCGAACACTTGAATGGAGGGAGCACGCAAGTCTTCCAAGCTTGCGCAGCCAGAGACATTGAGGACTTGGACCGGAGAGTAGAGCGCCACGGACTGAAGGTGAGTGTTGCGTGTGAGGAAAACGTTGTCAAACGTGTGTCCTTCGCACAGCTCAATATGCGTGTAGGCCGTGTTCTCCAGCCCGAAACTTTCAACTGAAGGGGCAAGAACGCTGCACAGGGTGTTGAGCTGGACAGCGTGGTTGTTCATGCCCGGCCATCCGAGATAAAGGGTTGTCAGCTGAAGGCGTGTCGACCGATCCAATCCAAAAAAGGGCTGCAAGTTGATGTTGCGTGCATCTACACGTCTCCATTTGAGTTGTGATCTCCCTGCCCCACGGCCGCCACCACTGCCTCTCGGAGAACCAATGTCCAGGGTTGCATCTTTCACGCTTGCGTGGGCAGTGAGCTCAAGCCACCACAACTCTTGCAGCTGAAGGATGCCGGTCATGTCAATGTTGGTCATCTTGTGATTGTTGAAGCGAAGCTCCTGCAACTGAGTGAGGCCCGTCACGTCTGGAACCTGCTCAAGTGGATTGTTGTCCAGGCGCAGGGATAAGAGGCGCGGAAACGATCGACGGGGAAACACTGTGAGCTTGTTGTTGCCGAGAGATAGGCGCTCCAGAGAAGGCATGTTCTGTAAAGCCGTGTTGGGGATGAATGTCAGTCTATTGTTGCTCACATGCAACGCTTGAAGGCGCGTCAGATTCCGGAATTACTCTGCTTCCAAGCAGTTTAAGCGATTGTGTTGGAGATGAAGCGACATCAATCCAGGAAACACGCGGCGAACGTGTACGCTGATACGCGTGATGAGGTTGTTGGTCAGCCAAAGGCGCGTCAGTTCTGGATGCAGCGGCGCGAACCATGCCTGATTGACCTCGGTGAGCACGTTGTTTCTGATTCTGAGCTCGCGAAGGTTTGTCAGAGGCGAGAACACGCCGCTTGGAAGTCGTGCCAGTCTGTTCCAATCCAAGAACAAGAATTTCAATGCTGAGGTTGCCTTGAACAACTTCGCTGGAAGGGAGCTCAGGACATTGTGGCTGCATAACAACCTCTCAAGTCGTGTTAAAGATGCCAGTAGTTGTGGTGGCAGCGTGCTGAGCTGATTGATTTGGAGCACGAGAACCCTCAGGTTGGTTGTTCGGCGGAACAGTGCCTCTGGCAAGGCGGTGAGGTCATTATGGCCAAGGCTCAAGCTGCGAAGTGACGTCAATGAGTCAAAAGCACGCTCGCGAATTGATGAAATGAGGTTGCGTCTCAAATTGAGGACTTGCAGAGAGCTCAGGTTCAAGAACATGTCGGGCGAAAGCTCTGTCAGTTGGCTGTTGCGAATACGCAGGTGCACGAGCTTGTGCATGGCGTTCAACAAGCTGGGGTCCACTGTCCGCACGCGCGTGCCCTCCAGCGTGAAGCGGGTGACCTGGTGTGCCAACACGAAATGCGGCTGCGTATTGTTCTCGCGTTCCATGAGGCGTATCGTCTTGCTATCACGGATCTCGATTTTTAGAATACTCATCAGCGGGTTGAAGGCATTGCAGAAGAATTCTAGCCCAAGCAGGCCTGTGACGTTCACACGCTGGACTGTTGTGCACTGTGTGTGGCTCAGTACCCATTCCAAATCGGTGTTGTGCACGGTGCCCGCGATAACCAAGGCACGCGGCTGCAATGAGTTGCAGAGTTGAGCTGCGGCAGTGGCAGCTTCCGAGCTGGGTTCGATCTCCTCCAGCAGGGCTGTGGCGTCGTTTGGTGCATCAAATGCAATGGTCAACGTGCCGCCAGCGATGGTGTCTTCAGAAGCGGGCACCGTGCAATTGCCTTTGATGATCGCTGAAGCGGTGCAGCGGTCAAAGACAAAGTCCGCGGGGGGCTCTGCTTCTGCCACAACGTCTCTCCGCCGCCGCTGCTGTTGTTGTTGACGCTGATACTGCTGGGTAAGGAGAGGGAAAGGCGAGGCATGTTGCAGCGGAAGAGCAGCTCGTGCGACAGCCTTGTGGATGGCGCTGCTGTTGTCGTCGGTGTCTTCTCCTTGCCCTCCTTGCTGCTGCTGGTGTTGTTGGTGTTGTTGTTGTTGGCAGTGGGCGTTGATGACGCGCTGCAACGCATGCAAGTGCGCATGCATGGGGAGCTTGTCGCCGTTGTGGTCTGCAACCACCTCCTCCTGCGAATTCTCCTCCTGCGTTTCCTCTTCGCTCCTTGTGGTCAAGAGAATTGCCTCCGTGACGACCTCAAGGGCAACTCGGGCGTCGTGGCAGATGTACAAGTCTTTGGCACAGCCAGTGGGAATCCACTGCGCAGCGTTCTCTGCTGAACATGCAAGGCCTGCGGTAAAGGCATTGTCCAGTGCGTGCGTTTGGGACATCCATGACTGCGACTGTTTGTGCGTTCTTGGTTGCGTTGTCATAGATCGTGGAAGTGGACGATGAAACGCAGGATCCCTCAGCTCAGCAGTGGGATGTAAACCATTGCCACGCTGCGCCCTGTGCGCTCTGTGGGGCAAGGAGTCGTTTTGGTGCGCTTGTTGTTGCCGTTTTGCGGAGGACGCCGAGGCCACCATCACTAACAGGAACAAAAGAAGGAAGGTTGTCCATTGTGAGGCGCCGGCAACGCCTGCCGTTGTCGGCAAGCGTCTACCACGCATCATTGCCGTCTGGTGGGTGGGAGAGACGGAGAATAGGAGTGCGTCTGAGGAGGTCAGTAGAGCAGTAAGTAGGTCGAGGTGAGTGGAGGAGGTGAGGAGGTGGAGATGAAAAGGAAAGAACTGCAGAAGGAAGGGAACAACACAACTGCTGTCCTTGTGCTTTCAAGCAACAAGCAAGCATTTTGTTTTGCCAAGGATGTGGAAGATTAGCGGGCATTTTCATAGAATTATCTGACTGACATCTTGTGATGTCGCGTTACGCGGCTGAGCTCGGGTTGCTTGGCGAAGGCGTGCGAGGGCGGCGAGTGCGCCGCACCGTCAACACCAACCTCCTCAATGGCTTCGTCCGGCAGACGGAGACGCACAACAAGGTCTGCATGTGCGAGGCGCGTGTGCTTGTGATGTCGGTCGCTGCCGTTGGGGGGGGGGGGGGGTTGTCGGAGCGTCATCTTTCGCGCCGCTCATGTGTCACCGCGCTTCTTTGCAGATGCTGGAAGAGCAAGTCATGTGGGAGGAATGGGAACGGCAGAAGAAGGAGCAGGGACGAGACGCTGCGAAGAGCGCATCTATGGCTCAGCGGACAGAGCCGCGAGGTCGCGACACAGTCACCCACTCTGCACGGTAACACCAGTGGATGCATGCGTGTGTGCGTGCGTGTGCGTGCGTGCGTGTGTGTGTGTGTGTCGGTGGGTTATGCTCAATGCCACCCGCACACACACCTTCACACACACGCACGTGCTCACACCTGTGTTGGTTTCACAGGTCGACCGGTCGCCTTCGAATGGATGACGCGCCACGGACTCAGCGAGACGTTTCACGCCGCTTTGACACAGAAGACGATGCGCCTAATCGGTCAGACAAACTGGTTTACATGTGAGGTGGCAATACCCGACTCTGCATATGTGTTTTGTGTGTGCCTGCACGACATGATTGCTCATGTGCCTGAGCTGGGGAGTGGGTCATGATACAGATGGGGCCATGCTGGCTTCAAAGAACTCTACCCAGAAGCATTCCCACGCACTGCAGGTGCGTGCGTGTATGTGTGTATATGTGTGTGCATATGTGTGCGTGTGTGCGTATGTGCGTGCGTGTGTGCGTGTGTGCGTATGTGTGTGTTCGTGTGTGCGTGCGTGTGTGCGTGTGTGTGTGCGTGCGTGCGTGCGTGCGTGTGTGTATGCGGATGCATGTGCAAGCTAAAGTGGAAGTACATTCACGCCATCCGCTTTCCCCCTCACCTTTCCTTCCCATGTCTCTGCTCTTGCACTCATTCCCCACCGTATGCAGTAGGATCAGATGACAGGGCGCAACCGTCTCGCACTGCCGCCGCCATCGCCCGGCGCGGCCACGTCGCCCGCAGGTATGCGTCCTGGCGCGCTGCTGGCTGTGCCTCCCGCTGATGCTCACGACACACTCCTGCATAGCTGATCCATTCTTGTCCCATTGCGCACTCGCGCTGCAGGCATCGACGTCGGCACAGCACAAGCGCTTCGAGCTCCGACAGCAGCAGTGACAGCAGCAGTGACAGCAGCAGTGACAGCAGCAGGGATGAGAGCGACGAGCATAGGGAGCGTGAAAGAAGAAGAAGAAGAAGAAGCGGCAGGCGGACGAGGAGCAGGAGTAGGAAGAAGAAGAGAAGCAGCACAAGCCGCAGCCGAAGCCGAAGTCGAAGCAGGGTCAGCGGTGATGATGATGGCACGGAAGCGTCGGAAGGACGGAGTAGGAGGATGAGGAGCAAGAGAAGAGGGGGAGACAGGGGGCATGAGAGCAGGCAGGAGGAAGTGGCGGTGGCCGAACACGAGGCGAGCAGGCGCGATGGTCGCAAGAAGCACAAGCAGAAGGAGAAGAAAAGGAAGAAGAAGAAGAAGAAGAAGTCGTCCTCCAAGCGAGGGGAGAAACGGCAAAGAGAGAGGGACTGACCCACTCACTGACCCATTCACCGACTGGCTCGCTGCCTGTGGCGCGCCATCATCATTAAACGAAACACACCGTGGAAGTGGTTGAAAGCACTGCAATCAACACAACACATGTCAGCACCACACGCACCAAAGTATCTCGTTCATTCTCTTCTGCACAAAATCCAACAACCGCACACATGGCAGCGAGATACGGCCTGGTTGACAAGTGAGTTGACGCACACACGCGTGTTGTGTGGAACATGTGTTGTGAGGAACGTTGGGCAGAGTGGGGCGGAGGTGATGAATGCAGGGCTCGTGGTTTGCTTGTGCACTTGATAAGAGCGACATCCTGTGCATGTTGGGTTCTCATCTCAACCTCCCCTTCTCGCTCTCTCTCGCTCTTCTTTCGCTCCCTGTGTGTGTGTGTGTGTGTGTGTGTGTGTGTGTGTGTGTGTGTGTGTGTGTGTGTGTGTGTGTGTGTGTGTGTGTGTGTGTGTGTGTGTGTGTGTGTGTGTGTGTGTGTGTGTGTGTAGGTACCAGCTGCTGGTGCGTGCTCGCATCAAGACCAAGGACGTGGCGTGGCTTGGCGCTGTTGCAGACCTGCCTCCCCTTGACCTTGATGCCTTGCATGCGGCCAGTGCTTCGACACAGTCTCAGCCCATGCCAGCACACGACAAGCGCCACGAGCTTCTGGAAAGGTGTGCCATGTGTTTGTTGTGTGTTGTGTGATGTGTTTGTTGTGTGTTGTTTGTTGTGTGTTGTGTGATGTGTGTGTGTGCTTGTGTGTGTGTGTGTGTGTGTGTGTGTGTGTGTGTGTGTGTGTGTGTGTGTGTGTGTGTGTGTGTGTGTGTGTGTGTGTGTGTGAGATGTGTTCGACAGCAACGCAGTGCACGCACGGGTTGTAATATCCATGCGCTCTCTCATATTTCCTCGTGCAGCGCATTCTTGGAAGAGGGCAACCAAGCAGTGCTCAGGCTCACCCACGAGCCCACGGGCCTTCCCGGCTTTGAAGAGTAAGTGTGCGCCTTCATGTTAATTAGGATGTGCGCACGCGCATGCGTGTGTGTATGTATGTGTGTGCGGATGCGCACAAGTCTATTCTGTGTCTCTCTCGTGTTCACACACACACACACACACACACACACACACACACACACACACACACACACACACACACACACACACACACATATTTGTGTTGCCATTCCCTTCCTCACCCCCTCACCCTGTGATCCGTTTCATCAGGTACAAGAAGAAGATTGATGATGTGATGGCAAGCGACGACTTCAAGCGTGCACTCAAGGATATGCAAAACATCACCAGCGACACAGACGTCCTCAAGGCAGCCATTGAGCACACAAAGCCAAAAGTCGAGGTACAAATGTGACATTCGTGCGTGCGTGCGTGCGTGTGTGTGTGTGTGTGTGTGTGTGTGTGTGTGTGTGTGTGTGTGTGCGTGGCGTGTGTGTGTATCATCCATGTGCACGAATGCTGTGCCCATGCACAGCCGCAACACTTGCACATCTCCCTCGTGTATCTGCTGTTGACATCAACCCCCCCCCCCTTTTCTCCGCTCGTTCTTACCTCCTCATCAGGTGAAGACGCAGGAGTTTCTGGAGCAGCTCCGTGCTCAACTTGACGCATCGCCGCTGCCACCGCAACACAGACACCAGCACAAGCAGCAGCAGGGCGCGAGCCAGTTTGTCCAGTCCACAGCGCGCGACTTTGGCAAGCTGAGCAAGTAGTTGTGTGTGTGTGTGTGTGTGTGTGTGTGTGTGTGTGTGTGTGTGTGTGTGTGTGTGTGTGTATGTGTGTTTTGTTTGTTCTCGGTTGATGGTCAGGTCGTCTATTGGGGGGATGCCCCTTGCTTGTGCGTGTGTTGTTGATGAACGAGGTTGTGTGAATAGAGAAGCGAGCATAGGTGTGTGGCAAAAGCAACGGCAGTGACAGGAAAAGCAACGAGGAAAGGAGGAGAGTCAACGAGCACAACAAACACAGCACGGTCAACAAACACGCCAAGGATCAACTAGAAAGGCGGAACAACGACAGAAACAAACACGTGTGTGTGTGTGTGTGTGTGTGTGTGTGTGTGTGTGTGTGTGTGTGTGTGTGTGTGTGTGTGTGTGTGTGTGTGTGTGTGTGTGTGTGTGTGAAAACAGCAGAAAATGAAACATATTGTAATCAAAGAAAAAATATTACTATTGTGCAATAACTCTAGGGGCGGGGGCAGCAGATGTGGAGGTTGGGTTGTGGTGGTGGGAATTTATCCTGCACTTTTGTTAAAGACTAGCATGAAGAAATAGTTAGAGTTCATCGCTGTGTAAGGTGCCATATCTTAGAGCTTCCCTAAGAGCGAGGAGAGACATATAGAAATACGCGCAACGGTACGCATGATGCGGTAGTACAGTATTCTTTATTTTTATTTTTTATGTAATGAAG